GTGAATCTGTCATTTATAAAAACAAAAAAAAGATTAAGTTTTTTGTATGTTTGCATGGCGATAATATGTGTGCATATTATTAGCACTGATGAAGATCCGGGCTTACGGATCGAACAGGCGCGTAGCCAAGGGGGAAATGGGGGGTCCGGACCCCCCCCCTCCACTTTTTATAAAGTTCAATATTGTAATTCTCCCAAATATGAGAAGAAACCTGGGGCGGGGGGTGGGGTGCAAGTTGCAAATATTTTTAAAGAAATCAATTGTCGTCAATTAAATTGAAATAATTGCGTATTTGCGTTCGCAGGCTATCCAGTATGTTATGTACAGCTTCGTTTGATGCAACGCTTCAGAACATCTTCAAAGAGAAGAAATGGATTTAGTGACCGCTGTAGATGCGGTAACGTCGCTAATCGCTAGATTTTCTTCTTCCGGAATGAGGAATAATTTGCCGAGTTTGTGCGTACTGCTGAATCCAAGGCAGTCGAATTTCACGTTGAAGATTAGAGATCCCAGTAACAAACACGGTAGAACGCTTCCAAATCGTCTAGCTGATGGACCGTTGATGAAACATTGCTTGATGTATCATTCAGTCACCACGTTGCCTCCTCAACTCAAAACAGCACAACAGTGTCAACAGAAAGTAAATTTCGTACTGATTTTTACTATTGTCTGCTTGATCTGCTGCTGGGGGAGCTGAAGAGGCGATTTTCAGTACTGGTACAATTATCTGCATTCAATCCAGCGCGTTGGAGTGATAATAATATAGACTTTACTATTTAGGACGGCAACGCGACGGCAACGGGTACCAATACAATAAATTATTGAAAAGAATTGAGTAATTACAATATATGAATAATTTAGTCATCGCTCTGTTTACAACGCGAAATCACAGATTTTCACGTCTTGATACAACGGCTGCATTTCAAGCCGTAACAAGTGCAACTTCAAACTGGGGTTAAAGAACCATTACCTTCTAAGAACGCAAAGAGGGGTGAAAGAACCATTACCTTCCATTAAAATTAAAGAAGTTTGGTGAAAGTGATTACGCTGGCCTTTACCTAAACTTTCACAGAATCATTTGTACATTCCAGCCATAATTCTGATTGCAATAACTTCGTGGAGTTCGTGCGAAAGATGCCCCAGCAAAGTTAAAATTATCAACAATTGATTCCACGAGGGCAACCATGTTAGTAGCGAGAGAGATGTAGCCGTCTACTAGCTGAAGATATTAAGTTGCATTCTCTTGTCGATACATTTGCTTTGAAGCCTAGAAAACTTCCACTATCATATCTAAAAGTTAGATGAAAGCGGTTATATTCCTGAAAACGGAACACAAATTAGATTCCCGTTCGTGTAAATGTTGTATAATATGGGTATCGTTTCAGAAAGAAAGTGATTTTAAAATGCATTAAAGCATTTCTCAACTTAGTAACAAGTTCTTAAAACTTTCTTTATCTATTAATTTGACGTGTCATATTATTACTATTAGTTTATTACGCACATGCTTTGTTAATCTCGTAAATATTTCATCTATGGCATAAAATTTACAAAATCAGTGGCATATAGATCACCAAAAAGCCACGCCAAATATGCACATGGGAGAGTTTCGCTAACCTTAAATTGAAAAATTTTCTGGCGACTACGTCCCCGGCTTTCAGAACAGTACTTTTATGTACTTGGCACTTTAGACACCCATCGTATGGGGCTGGCTACGCGCCTGGGATCGAAAGCTTTGCAGTAATAAAATTACGTGGTGTTTCCAGAAACAAAACTATTATAAAAAAAAAACATTGTCATTGTCTTTGCTATTCATGTCTGCTCTGGACTCTGCCTCTGATGAAAGAGATTTTGATCACGCTTCATGCAAAGCTTTATAATCCTGTTTATAATCGAACGTGCTTGCACAGATCTTGAAATTTAATATACCATTGTGCGGGTGAAGTAAAAAGCAAGCCCATTGGACAGTATTATATTACTATAGTAGACCAGTAGTCAATGACATCGTTCTGACTGCAATATGGGTGCTATTGTTCAGATTTATTGTACAAGGATTGTCTGCCACCACAATTTCACACACAGTGCAATGGAAGCTCAGTCTGTTTAAGCACAGTTGAAGGATCGTGTAGATAATCGAGTGGAAATGTTTTGCATTATATAATACCTTATTAAATTCTAATCATTTAATTGGCTGTTTATGGTCACGTGATATTGAATAGAAAATTCCAATTCCCAAGAGTGCAACGGAATAAAACGTATACTACAATTGCACTCTTTGTGTTTTCGATAAATCGCATCCCTCAAAATGCTTCTCATACGAATCTATTAGTCTATTTTGGTATTATATAAAACAAATAATGAATGTTTCTTCGTGCAATGGTAAGAATATTTTCATTCGGTGAAAGATGGAATGTTCCATTCAACTCGGCTGTCGCCTCGTTGAATGGAACATTCCATCTTTCACCTCATGAAAATATTCTTACCATTGCACTCATAAACATTCATTATTTGTATATTGTTAGACCTAACCAGGAACAGCTGCGAAAAATGCAACTATATATAATAGGATCCTGGCAGGAATCAAGCCTGCGGCCCTGCAATTCCGGTCCTGTTTATTTTTGGATATCTGGTCCAGATGTAAATCGTATCTGATCTAAGATCAGCAGCAGGGGCACAGATGATAGATTATACTAGATGTCTCACTCAGCCAAAATTGTGTCCGCGGTTTTTATGAGCACGCGTTGGCCGCCATTTTGGCAGTAAGTGTAATCCATAGATATAGGAGACCTAGATTGCTGACTCTAATGTTTTCTATAATGCACGCGCGTGACACTCATGAGCATTCAAAATGGCGGCTCAACCGGGCAAAAATCATAGAGCGAGATAGGGAAAAACCATGGTTTTTGCATTTTGCGTCGTCCTACAGCTTCCGATCCCGTTATATCACTTTATTTTGGAAAGAACTAACTGGTGTGAAGGTTTTGGATGAATATTTGTGCAATTTAAGTTTAATAAAGACGAAATAATCGATCGCTAAATGTTTTCTGAAATCGTCACAATGGTCGGTTGAGCAGTTCGAGACATTTTGTTGCAGAAAATAAAGGTTTTGGTTCTTTAATTTGGGTGCTTTTTTTCTCGAGGATCTCGGTTGGGATATTTAACAAGGAATAATTCTGTGAAGTATTTTGAAGTTAAAGCTTATTTTACTTGATTTATTTGGTCTGCTGGTGCGAAAATTCTGATGCTCTGTTTAGTGTGACTTTGACAACCTCCTTGCTGCTGCAGATGTCAAGGGATCTCAAGTCTATAGGGCCTGGACAGTGAAAAGTGATGAATCAATCAGGGTTGTAGAGAGAACTAGTGACAACGAAAGTTTTCAATGGAAACTAGTTTGAAGAAACTGCCTAATGTGTCTGGTATGCATCAAAAACCTTCACAGTTAGTATCTAGTTCTCTCCAAGAAACCTGATTGATTCATCATTGATAATCAAAAATAGATTGGACGGCATCTTCGTTTAGATATTTCTTGGATTGGCATTTTATTGATTGCTCTCTGCAGTCGGCATTCTTCCCTTCGGACACTCTCCCCTTGAGACAGCTGACCCAAGCATCAGCACTCTCCCCTTACGAGTAGAATTGTCTGGCATAGCCAGAGTAAAATAATTAAGTAGGGCACAAAACGACTCAATGGGTTAACTATACACATTTGCAGGTAGGCCAGTTAACCCATTAAGTGCCACTGCTCTCCTCTTGATGAGTAAAATTGTCTGGCGTTAGACAGAGTAAAATAATAAAGTAGGGCACCTTGCAACACCATGGATTAATATAATCATCGGGTGTGAAGTATAATCATCCAGTGTGAAGTGTTTCTCACACAAGAATGAATATTTGATTGGCATTGAGTCTGCCCATTTCATTTTTTAGCAGGCTGGGATTGGTTATAGGAAATCCAATAGTGCAAAGGGAAAGATGTATTTTTGGTTCACTGATGTGAACAAAACTAAAACATTTTTGACTTTGAACAGGACAAGGAAAGAGAGACTCTCCTAACACAGACATCAAAACAAGAAGTTCTTTTTTGGTTTAATATTCTTTTATTAAAACTGTAAATAGTTTTATATTGTAGCTGCCAAACTCAAAACTACATTTGTTGTGACGTTGTCATTACAGTATTTACAAAACAAATTCTTTTTATTCTATTATTATTCTGTTTATATGATGTAAGTTATAGACTTGTAGTGTACAAATATGTGATGTGTGTGTGTTTCATAGACTTACTTATGGAAGGAAAATCGAATAACATCCCACGTCTGTCTTGTAGTAATACACTGAACACGATTCTGGCCGACTTTCAAGCATTCTTTTCGATAAAAAAAACCCAGATGGAATAGAAGCCCTAGAATTTTCAGATGAAAATACTGTATTTTGGTCGAAATAACAATGAAAGAACAAAATAAACAGTAATAGCTTTTGGAATAGTTAGAAATATATAATATTACTTGAGAAAAACTCGTAAAAGACTGAAGGAATACACAGGAAGAAACTAAAGACGAAAACCGCGCGAAACTGCAGGCCTGCCCAATCTTGCCCGGTTGAATCGTAATTTGTATTAACCATGGTGTAAAATTGTACTGATTGTACAAATTTTCATCCAAAACCTTCACACTAGTTAGTTCTTTCCAAAATAAAGTGATAGAACGCGATCGGAAGCTTTAGGACGACGCAAAATGCAAAAAACATGGTTTTTCCCTATCTCTCTCTGTGATTTTTGCCCGGTTGAGCCGCCATCTTTGGATTTTCAAAATATGCCACGTCGGTTGAGCCGAGTCAGCAATCTAGGTCTCCTATATCTATGCCTACAACTATAAGGTGGATTTCAATAATTTGGATTCTTGCACTACACATGGTGGAATTAATATTAGAATGTTAGGGTTTGTAATCCAAGTGAGAATATATACATTTTAAGACCTAACCAGGAACGACTGGGAAAAATGCAGCACAAGGTCCTCTGGTAGGAATTGAACCTACGGCCCTGCGATTCCGGTGCAGCGCTCTAACAAACTGAACTACAGAGGCCAGCTGTTGAGCTGTAACCGTAGGTCCGTAGGGCCGTAGGTTCAATTCCTACCAGAGGACCTTGTCATGCTGCATTTTTCCCAGTCGTTCCTGGTTAGGTCTTAAAATGTATATATTCGCACTTGGATTACAAACCCTAAAATTCTAATACAACTATAAGGGAAGCTCTAAATTGTTCAGATAAAGAACAATGGAAACAAGCTCTGGACAATGAATATTCAGCTCATATTAAGAACAATACATGGACATTAGGGAATCTGCCTGAGGGTCGTAAAGCTATTGATTGTCGATGGGTATTTAGAGTTAAATACAACGCGGATGGGTCTGTAGAGCGCCACAAAGCTCGTTTAGTTGCGAAAGGATACTCACAAGAACTAGGATTAGATTATGATGAAACCTTTTCTCCTGTTGCGAAGTATACATCTATTCGTTCACTATTGGCAATTGCTAACCAGTTAGATTTAGAAGTACATCAAATGGACGTTTCTACAGCGTTCTTGAACGGTGAATTGGAAGAAGAAATATACATGAAGCAACCAGAAGGATACGTGAAAGAAGGTGAGGAAGATTTAGTTTGCAAATTAAACAGGAGTATCTACGGCTTCAAGCAGTTATCAAGGTGTTGGTACAACACGATTGATCAATTTTTAAAGAATTCCGGCTATGTACAATCGAACTCGGACCCTTGTCTGTACATAAAGCGAGAGGGAGATGATATCATGCTCATAGCCTTGTGTACGTCGATGACTTGATACCAGCTAGTAATAGTAAGAGAATGCTTCATAAAGAGAAAGAAGCATTGAGAAAGCGTTGCGAAATGAAAGATCTCGGTGAAGTTCATTATTGCCTTGGTATTCAAGTAGAACGAGATAGAAACAGGAAACGAATGAGATTACATCAATCACAGTATCTCACGAACTTGTTGAAGAAGTTTGGAATGGAGAAATGCAAACCAGCTGCAACGCCTGTTGATCAAGGCACTAAATTACTACCTAACGATGGAGAACCAGTTGAGAAAACCAAGTATCAAGCCTTAATCGGAGGATTAACTTACGCGGCAACTGGCACTAGACCTGACCGCGCTTAAGCGTTAGGATTAGTTAATCAATTTTGTTCAAACCCAGGAGTTGAACACTGGACAGCAGCTAAACGTATTTTACGATACATCAAAGGAACACTTGATTACGTAATTACATTCGATAGAAACAAAGAAACTGAAGTACAGTTGAATGGTTATATGTTGATGCTGATTGGGGAAGTAATCCAAACGGACAGAAATCGCAATCAGGATATTTGTTTACACTGTGTGGAGGAGTAATCAGTTGGGCTAGTAAGAAACAAAGTGTTGTCGCACTTTCTTCAATTGAAGCGGAGTATGTCGCTGCATCGTTAGCGTGTCAGGAAGCAGTTTGGTTACGTGTGTTACTCGAAGATATCAGTTTTGTACTTTTGTTCAAAACAAGCCAACGATGATCAAAGAGGATAATCAAGGTGCAATAGCTTTGTCAAAGAATCCTAAGTATCATCCCAGAATAAAGCATATCGATATTAAAATACTATTTCATTCGTGACAAAGTTGCAAAGAAAGAAGTTGTTCTAGACTATTGTCCTACGGAAGAAATGTTAGCGGACTTGTTGACTAAACCATTAGGAAAAACAATGTTTCAACGTATTAGAGAAGAACTGCATGTGACGTCATATCGTATGACAAAGTACTTTGAACTTTTAGGTCACGCCATCCTTTTCATATACTGTTCTGCACGTTGTTGATATTTATAAACTCAAATACCCGTGGTTCGCCGAATGATATTCTATAATAATAACATGATGATCAACCAGATGTAAAATAATAATATACCGTATGTGAAAATTGACGCTGAGTTCGTACAAAGATCTCGCGATTATTTTAATCTGCACTAGCTGCCTAAATCTTCATGCATCCTTAAAAAAGTGCGACGGAAAGGATAAATTTGGAATGAAATGGAATTTGAAATAGACTGCAGTTTTCATTTATTTAGATAAATATAAATAGACTGCAACTTCCTATTATTCAGCCACCATGTATAGTAATGTACGCACTTTTCTCAAGAGCTGCTAAATATATCGTGATTGATAAACAAATGCATGTTTATCACTTTCACCCACAAGAAAACTGTTCAATAAGCAGTGGCCAGGAATGGGAATTGTTGCCAAAAATAAAATAGTAAGGCTTACTGAGCGCGTACTAACGTGTAGTAAAAAATATTCAAAATATTGTTCCTTTGTTGTGAAAGCAAATGTTTAAAGATGAGCTCAAGTCTGTTCTGCGCATGTGCTATGTGAGGGACCTTCTGCATGATGTTAACAATACCCAAATTTTGCGTTGTTTCGACATCTTCTAAATTGAAACGCTAATCTATATTTATTTAAAAGCATATAGCGAACCAGAATGATGTTAGATATTAACCAAGTGAATCATATTTTATGAGTATAGTGTCTTCAAAATGTAAAGAAACTACACATCCGCTCAACGACTTGACCGCTTCTTTAAAAAATTAATGTAATTATTTATTAATATTATGTACAGTGCATGAGCTACAGGCATAAAATTAAACTTGGCTTTCAAGTAAGTAATCATCGGTCTGAACCAGTGCATGAGCACAGATAGATCGTGTTCTGAACTCTGAAAATTTGCTGAACACAAGGACAAATATATCTTAGATTGTGTTTTCTATTAATGTTATGCTTTCTAATATATACTATATAGTCACCGCGCAATGTTTAGCTATTTTATAATTTGATTGCGTGCAGTATCTTACTTTATTATTTTTTATACTTTTTGTTTTATATTTCACGTGCTTTTCCCGACCTTAATAATGTTTGTCGCGAATAAAATCTCTCTCAATATTTTCGACAGGACATACGTCATGTTGGGTTTACTAAAACGGGGCGACCAAGTATAAGAGATTTGGGATCCGACATAGGAATGTCTGTAATCTGTTATAACTCGTGAGAATATAACCACTGTGTAGAACATCTTTAATTTTCATCACTGTTGTCGTCTTCATGGGCTACCATACCCTAATTGGGCTTACACAATTAGTCTATGACAGATTTATTATATGTTGTCTACGGTAAAGACACTCCCGCGGGTGCCATGGGTGGCACACCGCCATATTTACATATTCTTATGTTTTAAAGTGTTTAGAAAACGAATTCACATTCACGCCCTTATATTCATTACATTTTTAAGCTTTTTTTATTCATGCTATTTTTATGGTTTATTCAGTAGATGTACTTGAGATAGATACAATAAGTGATAATAAAACTTGGTCCTTGTGTGTCTGCAAGAGTAATTAAAATGCACGCAAATTTCGTTTGCTTATATCGTTGTCATGGCAGCATACAGATGTCTCGGGTTCACTTATTCCTATAAACTATTTTGATACTTCGAATAAGGACGAACAAACATCAATTTCGGCAGAACTATGATTCCTGGGGTCTGGTAATGGGCGGGAGTAGACAAGGACTAGTTGTCGAATACAAACCTATATTTTCAGACCAAAATTCCTCGACGTAACAAGACACATATTTTTTATTTTCTTCCTACATTTCAGAGCGACTTGTTCCTTCCATTTCTAAACATACTTGCGCACTTTCAAGAGTTTCATAAAGGAAACAAAACGAAACAAATCACTAAGTTTAGAACAATTTATTTCGCGAGTGTGTTTTCGGGTTCACGAAATGCAAAATATTCCTCGATATCATATATGTAGAGAGTAAGTAGTACAGCTTTTTACCCCTAGGACCGGGGCTGCAATTACAGGCCTGTTTCATCTAAAAGGAATCATCATGCAAGGTAGCTCTGGTGATCTCCCTTGGATCAAACAGGCTGTAGTGGCAACCAGTTTTTGGGTAAAAACTGAACAAATGATCTCCGTGACACTTTTCCTAATGCCTTGCTCGTGATATTCACTGTCTGGGTTGAAGCAAGACCAAGTACCCGTTATAACATCTGCAGATTCTATATAGATGCATGGACAGTTGGAATTATTTGCCCTGTGGAAGAAAAATAGATTGGCATGTTAGTGTGCATGCGTGGGAGATTGAATGAGTATAGCGTCATATCTATAGCCATTCTATTTCTGAGGACTATCTCTATTTGAACAAGTGCTTATTCCGGTTGTTTAAGTGATTAGTATTACTTAGGCGTACGAGACAGGGGGGCTGCAGCCCCCCTACACAGTCGGTATCTAGTCGGACAAAGTCCACTTAAAAATAGGGCAATTTGCGTAGGGCAGATTTGTTGCAGATCAAATTATGAGGTATTAATGTTTAGTCAGAGAAACTGAATGACTGCATGCTTGCTGTAAGTGAGGAGTTCTTGATACATCTCAAAGAATGATATCCCAGAAATACTCGTATAAATTGTTCTATATATTTTGTTTATCATTTCAAGATTGACTTTTCATATAGGAGATGTGTTCCTTCTAATTGTCCTTCTATTCATATCTATCAATAAACCCATGATAATTTCAGCAATGCAATTTCCATTATTGATGGGCAACTTTTTGGCCGCCATTTGTTTTCTTCATTTGTTTTTCAAATTTTTGTCCTATTCATTTGTTTTCGCCCGGACGCCTATGGTTATGGTAGGCATTATACTTTTAATGTTTTAACGGCCTTTTGGCTGTGCATGCAATGAAGCAGGTTCTCGAATTGTTCACATTTTTTACACTTTTTCAGGTTCATGCTATGACGTCAGTAGATGGACTTGAGATAAAAGTCATACATGATATAAGTTGGAATTAATTAGACCAAATAAGTTCAAACTTGGGGATGTTATATACTAACTATACATTGGGCGTGAATCTGCAGTGCTTGTTGTTAAATGATCGTCAAAGCAACACACAAGTATTAAGGTATCCAGACTCCTCGCACGTGTTAGATTTCTTGTACATAGTACGTGCGTTTCTTAATTGACCGTTTAAATCTACATTCTTAAAAAGTTGGAGTATGAATGGCATTCGATAGAAATAAAAATACGTCTAAACTTTAGATTATGACGATGGTTTATTTTACATAAATGAGCTTTAAATTAGGATGCGTTTTCTGTTAATTGTACCCTTGAGCGACCATAGTTCATCAAGATATGATGGTCTGGAAACTAAACAGAAGTCCTTGTATTATGTTTTTGTCTGAGTTTACGTTAATTTGTGCACGAGCACGGTGATTGAGCTCATTGTATTTTTGTATAATTAAGTACTTGATCATCTCTCATTGTATCTTCCTATAATTAATTAAGTAATAGCCCATGCAATAGGGATAGCTGAGGTGAAACGTGCAACCACGATGAATAATATTTTATAAAATTAGGACAAAGGATTTGTGCACGATGAGGTACGTTCAACATGAAACAAAGGTCTTCTATTTTGTGGCTTTGAAGTTTGCCGGGCTTCCCGACCATCATATCTTGACAGACTATGCAGTCAATGACAAGTCATTTGAATGCTGCTCTGCCTGTGGTCTTTCTCTCAGACGATATCTCTCATAAATTTAAAAAATTATATTCCATGTTTGGGGTAAACCTTCAATTACTGAGTGTTCTGTCTAGACTTATGTACAATCAGTCCCTCAAAAACCGAAAATAACCGCTGTTCTTATGGGAAACTGTGAAGTGCGTATAGAGGATTTTGCGTATTTATATATTTCTAATTCATAACTATCTGTTGTTGTAAAATCTTTCGTTATATCTGTTTACAAAAACAAACAAACAGTTAGAAATAATCCACCGTTATACTCTATTGTGTGTGTCGAACGGACATAACGTTTTTCTCGCGGTCATTTTTTTATTGAACTCATGAACCAATTATGTAAAATTAAGAGGCTTAAGAAATGTGCTTAATAAAGACGTTTTGGCCAAATTAGATATATAATTACAGGAAATTTTACCCACTAATTATGTTGCCAGCTTTACACACTAATCGCGTAAAGTCTATATAGTGTACATACCTGTATCTCAATTTGTGCATGAAGTTAACGTAAAATTGAATGTCAATTGATAGATACATAAATTATATCGTACGAAAACTAAAATCAACCTCAAGT